TGCACCCACTTATCTCCCTGCCTCTTGTGGCAGATGCAATGTGAGTGACTCCTTTAAGGCTCTAGCCTCTCTGACTTCCCACCATGACACACTGGAACTGTGAGCCAAATGACCCTTCCCTCCCCATTTTACGTTGCTCTTGTCAGGGCATTTTATCACAGCAACGGGGAAGAGTGAGACAGCACACTGCACAAGTAACACTGTCTTCTGGGTGTGTCTGTGGGGAGGGCTGCACTTCCTTGTATTCATATGCATGTGAATAACCCTGAGTACTGTTTGTTCTGACTTTGAGACAGGGTCTCTGCGGCCTAGAGCTTGCCACGAAATCCCCAGGAATCAATCCACTTGTCTGTGCCTCTTCAGTGCTGGGGTTACAAGTGTGTGCCATCATGTCTGCCGTTTTTTTGAAAACAAAAACGAAAAATACCCATGGGTTCTGGGTTTTGAACTCAGGGCCTCATGCATACGAAGGAAGCACTTTATTGAACGAGCAATCTCCCAGCTCCGTCAAGGCATTCCTAAACATTCTGTAGTTAGTACTTTTCACAGATATCAAGAGTCTAGGCTTATTTTATATTTTTGCTGTATGCCAGCGGCTCTGACCTGCAACTCAAGCGCAGTGTTTCCTGAAAGACTCCTGTCCATTAGATCAATAGAATGGGCGAACAACGGCCTGGTACTGTTCACACACGGCCTGGTCCCATTCACACCACAGCATGTATTCTGCTGTGCAGGGAAAGGAACTCCTGACACGCAGTGAGCTGAAGGAGCCAGCTTCCCCATAGAGGTTATGTGTGAATACCATGTCAGTCCATGGTGTGAAGTCCTAAGACTAACAAGACGTGTGCACCAAGCAGAAGTCAGCCCAGAGGGGACATAGTGGCTGGGAAGTTGGCCCAAGGGAATTCCCTGCAGTGGGAGACACTTTACCTTGACCTTGGTCGAAGTCACATGCGCGAGAGGTGTTTGAGCGGCATATATCTTAACTTTTGTGCATTTTACTGAATTCGGGTTGTAGCGCAGTGACATCCAGTCTAAAATGATACATGCTGACATGTGTGCGCACTACACACCGACACGTGTGTGCATGGATGTCCATCTCCATGAGCAGAAAGAGCCCTCCACCGTATAACCTCGAAATGTATACGCATCCCCTAAAGATCATCAGAACTTTTCAAATAAAGCCAGCCTACTCTCCAGTTTAAAAAAAGTTGGGGTGTGTATTGTGTGTGTCCATGTGTATGGGTGCATGCACACGTGGGAGCCAGAGGTTGGCAGCAGCTTTCTTCCTCGGTCACTCTCCACCTTATTAATTAATTAATTAATTAATTAATTAACTTACTTATTTATGAGAAAGGGTTTCTCTGTAGCTTTGGAGCCTGTCCTGGAACTCACTCTGTAGACCAGGCTGGCCTCGATCTCACAGAGATCGGCCTGCCTCTGCCTTCTGAGTACTGGGATTAAAGGTGTGTGCCACCACCGCCTGGCCTCTCCCCCTAATTCTTTGAGGTGATCTTTCATTGAGCCTGGGACTCATTGATTTGACAAGTGCAATCTTCCTGTGTCAGCCTCTGCAGTGGTGGGACTGCAGGTGAGCGCCACCATAGCTGGCTTTTTGCATGACTGCTGGAACCAAATGCAACTCTCCACGAAGTGCCTTTCTGCCACACACACACACACACACACACACACACACACACACGCTCAGAACTAGATCTGCTTCTGCTTTCAGGGACACCGGTGTCTCATCTCTGGAGGTATAAAAGCAATCCATTAATGAGTAGAACATAAGGGAGGTGGGCGGATCATGCAGGGCCTGAGGTTCTGCTCGGCATCCTGTATTTATAGTCAGACCCAAGCTTCGAACAAGGAGATGGATTACTCTGAACAAGTTAATGTCTATGAGTTCCTAAAACTGTAAATCTTTGAAGTAAACACGAGACGCATTGCTTTAGGTCCTGTCAAGCTCATGCACCCTGAGGAGATGGCAGAGTGCAGATTTACCTAATGGCATGTTTGCTTACACAGGCACACAAGGAGGGGAGGGAGAATGTATTTGGTTTCTTTTAGAGAGAGAGATAGACTTTGGTTTCTTTTTAGTTACTTCAAGTTGTATTCTTTGTGTGTGTGAGTGAGCACGTGTTTGTGTGTGTGAGTGACCATGTGTGCGAATGAGCACGTGTATATGTGTATGAGTGAGCATTGTGTATGTGAGTGAGCATGTGTATGTGTGTGGTGTGAGTGAGAATGTGTATATGTGTGAGTGAGCACATGTATGTGGGTATGTGAATGAGCATGTGTATGTGTGTGAATGAGCATGTTGTGTATGTGTGTGTGAGTTGAGCATGTGTATGTATGTGTGAGTGAGCACTGTGTGTGTATGTGAGAACAAGTATATGTGTGTATGAGTGAGCATGTGTATGTGTGTGTAAGTGAACATGTGTATGTGTGTGTGTAAGTGAGCATGTGTATGTGTGTGAGCATGTATATGTGTGTGTGAGTGAGCATTGTATGTATGTGTGAGTGTGAGCATGGTGTGGTGTATGTGTGTGGTGCATGTGTGTGGTGCATGCACAGAGTCCAGAGGTAGGCACTGGGAATCCTCTACTCTCCACCTTATTCTTTTGAGGCTGGGTCTCTACCTGCACTGCAGCCCATGGAGCTCAGGAGGGTTGTTGCTCTTTGACAGGCAGCAGTCAGTAAAGTCCCAGTCATCCCCCTGCTTCCAGTGCTGGGTTGGAGGCACAGGTGAAACCACAGCCATCCATGAAGAGTGCTAGGATCTGAGCTCCTCATGTTGATGCACCAAGCACTCTGTCTTTTTGTTTGTTTGTTCTTTTGAGACAGGATCTACATAGCCCAGGTTGGCTTTGAGTTCACTGGCCCCAAATTCATAGAGGTTGCTCTGACTCAGCTTCCTGGGTGCTGGGATGACGGACGGAAGGCAATATGCCAGATTTCCCAAACTTCTCCCGTTACTGGGCACACAAGCTCTACATACTGAGGGACACCCTTGGGGTCACATTGTGTTTTCTCCTAATGTAGAGTTATATCTCAGCAGGTCAGCATATGTCTAGCACACACAAGAGCCAAAGCACAACTTCCAAGTCACTAAAAAGTCAGCTTCTCTCTCTCTCTCTCTCTCTCTCTGTCTCTCTCTCTCTCTCTCTCTGTGTGTGTGTATAAAGCTGAAATAATCCTTATTTATGTTGTCGGATCCAACATAAATCCAATCAGTCACACTTCATAGGTTCTTAAAATTAATAATGGCTTTTACTTCTATGAATGAATAAACTGGTTTAAAATTAAAAACAAGTGCATAGGGCTAGTGCTAAGCCTTGGCTTTCCTGACAGCTGCAAATGCAGCGACACTCCTTCACCAGACTCCAGCATCCACACTGGTCTGAAGGCAGCTTTCCCAGCTCTGGCATTGCCCAGCGTCTTCCCCCACAAGTACGCCTGCCTCTGGAGGAGACACTCAAGCAAGCTCAGACAAAGTGGCAGCCCAGGATGTAGCTGATCCAACCAAACTTTGTCCTTGCTGTCACACACACTCCACTGACAAAATAAACTCAAGCCTCAGTTAAGTGGCTTGCTCGGGGTCACATGGCTGGTCACAGGCAAGATCCAGTTTTTGTATCTGCCTGGAAATCCTTTACTCTCCCTTTAAGACCACGCTGGCCTCCGGGGCTGCGCTCTGCCATTTGAGTGTCTTGGGAGTCACAACATCCACGTGCTACTTATTTTCCCCTGCGAAAGATGCCTAGGGGCCTCCTGTGTCCCAGAAGGGCACAGCCAGCCCGGCCAGCACTGACAGCCTTTAGGTATCTTATCGTTGAGCCCAATCCTGTTTTAGTCAAATGTCTGAGGCTAAGGGCAGCTTCTGTGCAGGCTGTGTCCTTTATCCCAATTCAGTGTTCCTTGGTGAAACAGATCCTTCCTTCCGGCTTCCTCAGCCTTCTCTAAGGCATGGTGATGGTGTGCATGGCTGTGTGGAGTATTGCCCACACTGGCAGCCACAAGACTGGTGGAAAACTCAGCAGACCCCTACAGAGATCAGTCTTTGACACTCTGAAAAGCTGACCGTCCGGAGTCTCAGTTCGTTGCTGGCCATCCATCCCGTTTCCTCCCCTCTGGTCCTCTGATGCTTGCTTCTGAAGACAGGCAAACCATCAAAAGCCAAGCATTGCAGAACCACTCGGTGGGCACAAAAGACTTAGTAATTTTCTTTCGTGTTTTGGGGTGGTGTCTTGCTATGTAGTCCAGGCCAAGCGTGCATCTTGTGATTTTCCTGTCTCTGCCTCCAGAGCGCTGGCAAGGGCCACTGGGACGGAATAAGGCCTGGAAGTTTTGTGTCCCTTGCCTGTACAATGAAGTGGTTTGACATTATCATCTGTGACAAGAACTTTAGGGTCCTTGAAAGGACTGGGCTGAGACTTCAGAAAGGGAACGAATGCCAAGACACGCAAAAACACTTCCGAAATACAGGCAACCCCTTTCATTTCCCAACTACCAAAACCAAGGATAGGGGGTGGGTGGCTAGGATCCTCCTGAGTTAACCACTGGGTCAGCAACCCAGTGGGGCCTAATACAGGTTTGCTTCCCTGGCTGAGTGCTTTTTCCATTATACCGGCTGCGCCTCAGTAACCCCACCTCCGAAAGTGCTAAGGCAGTTCCCTCCCAGTGCCCAGGCGGGGTGGGGCCCCTCCGTGGCATGGAACAAACCGGGAAAACCACATATTCCAACTCCCAGCACACAAAGGCTGGTTGGCCGTGGGGGCGGGGTGGGAGGGCCGGTACTAAGTCTAGCTCACTACTTGGAGATCCTGGGATTCTGAGCAGGGCTCCTAGATTGCCTGTTCAAGGAGGCCACCCCACTTTGTCCTGTCCCGTGCCCCCTGGGCGGTGGCGGCAAGACCTCCCCCAAATAAATGGCTTGTTCTAGCTCCAGCGTCCCACCCCCTAGCTGCCTACGGAAATCTAGGAGGGACGGTCCTTTCCTTTCCGCTTTCCCATCCGCCCCCGGAGCGTCGTCGCACAGCTGGGTTGACTTGGGTCGCCTCCCCCTCGCTACTTCTAGTCTATCTTTTCCAGGCACTTTGCTTCGTCCACAGCCCCCAACCTTGGAAGGAAGACACCCTCCAAAGCTAGCCCATTAAAAGTGCACGACTTCTGCCCGGCCAGCCGAAGGAGCTCCCGCAGCCCGGCATTCCTCGGATTCCAGCGCTGTGACGTCCCCGGGGACCGTGCGCCCGCAGCGGGGGAGCCCGGGATCCACTTTTCAGCGCTGGGTGCGCGTCCCCGAGGCTGGCGCGCGCCCTCCCCTGCCGCCGCATTCCTAGCCCGCCCAGTGAGCACCCGGCGCTCTCCCCGCCTCCAGGCCCCCAGAGCAGCAGAGCCCAGCCCGGGGCGGGGGAGCGCGGCCAGCGGCGCCTGCTCGTCCCCTCCCACTCGGCCCCTTCCTCCGCCCTCCCGGCCGCTCGCGCTTCCTGGCACTCGGGCTCTCCCGGCGGCTCAAGTTCTACACAACTTCTCCCGGCTGCCCAGCTCCGCGGCCACGGGTCCGGACCGTCTCTCTGCGCTCTGCGGCTCAGCCATCTCGTCCCCAGGGCAGGTCCTCGTGGAGCATCTGGCGCCACTTGGCCGCTGGCGGTCGCTTTCGGCGCCCCACCTCTCTGATCGCCCCGGCCCCCTCACGCGGGACGGCGGTGCTCAGGTTCTTGGCCCTTTCTCCTCCCCGGTGCTCCCGGCGCGGCGGAACCCTCCCCGTGCCCTTCCTCTGCCAACTCCTGGAAGCCAGTGGTGAGGACCCAGGCTCCCCGATGGTCACGGCGCGGCACCCGGGGCACTCCCGGGCCATGTAAGCAGGTAAGCCAACCGGGCGGGAGCAGATGCTGGGGCTGCGCCAACTTGGGCTCGACGCCGGGGACGCCGGGTTGCGCGGCGGGGGCGCCAGGTGGCCAGCCGCCGGGCTTCCCTTAGAGTGTGGTGCTCGCTCGTCCGGGAGTGGGCTGGTAGGGGAGATCGGTCTGCGATTCTTGTTCAGCTAAGACATCGCCTCTAGCTCGCGGTTCTTTTCTGCGTGTAGAGAGGGAGAGAGTCCGGGGAAGAGGAGAGGGCAGCTGGAGGTCCCTAGACCGCCGGGGCAGCAACTGGGGAGCGGACGTTGCTGTCGCGCTTTCGAGCAGGGGAACGCAGCGCAGCGCCCAAACCTTGCCTCTGTGCCTCCTGTGGGGACTGGGTTTGGGAGGGGGTCCTGTGCCCTTTCCCCTTGCCCCAGCCGTGTTACCAAACTCTCGAATCCCTTGGCTCCTACTTGAGTCTGACAGACAGACGCGCCGGAAAAACTTGCGGCTCCATCACCGCAGACCAGATTTCCACCTCGAACTTTGCGGTTCCGAGAGTAAATAGCTCCTTTCCCACGTAACTTCACGTCTAGTTTTGAATCTTTGCAAATGGGTTCCCTACTTTTTCTGGGGGAATCGACGAGGTGCGCTGTCACTACCTCCCTTTACCTCAGTTCTTGTCCCTCAGATCTTGTCTCCCCATTCCCATCTACAACTAGGGAAGATTTTGGATGTTTTGACTTTAGTAAGTCCAGGGATTGGCTGTACAAGCTCCTGCCGGAGGCGAGTTATGTTCAGACCGCTGGATGAATGGATGGTCAGAAGTTTCCAAAATACACTGATTTCTTGAAATGGATTCCCTCCCTCATTCATTCAACAAACTCAGTGTTGAGGCTTCCCCTCTGCTAGGAGATCACACTCCTTGAGTCCGCAGTGCCCTGCAGGCAGCCCGTGGGCGGATGGGACCATGTGCTGCAAGAGAAGAGTTCTGCTAGAGTCGGGGAAGGCCAGGCCCTGGAGGAAATGGGTTACCTGCGTCGAGGGAATGATGCTCAACAGAGGAGTGGTTGGGACACTGAATTCCAGAAGACGAAACAGCTTGGGCAAAGTGAGGGGCGCAGAAGGGGGTGTGTGTGCAGAAAGTCTTGGATAAGGACCCGGTGGCTAGAGGGGCATGTATGGGCAAGTTGGTGCACTGTTGTTGGCATAGTTCGCCCCCACCCCAGCAGAAACGAAACCGGAAGTTTGTTCCCCACTTCCCGTGACCACAAGTAGCTTTCAGGGATCAAAAACTTCCCCTTTGGACCTATTCCTTCTCCTTGATGTCTCCCCTACGCGGTTCTGTGGGGTGACAGGTATGCTCGTTGTTAATTGATCCCCTGGATCTCAGTATTCAATTGAGGACCATACCATGCCACTACAGAACCTTGTCCTGAGAGAGCTTTGGGCGTGGGCAGAACAACCTGGGTCTCAGAAGTGAAAGCTTGCTTTGTTTCCCCTTTGGTGCCGGGAACCGAACCCAGGCAGGGTCTTATGCTTACCAGGCAAGTGCTTAGCACCTCCCTGCCCTCAGCTCCTTAACAGCTCTCTTGAGCTGAACCTGGATAATATGATGTCCTCTTATCCGGTCTGGATGCGTGGCTGGTAGGCATGTACGTGGCAGAATCCGTTCAAGGAAGTGACTCTGTGTCTCAGGGTCGCTGCTTTTAAAAGTCATTGATTTTTTTTCTTACGTGGAGTTGCCTTTCCTTTTTCTGAACCCGTGGAAACTGAAATCTTCCGTCATTGTAAGCAGGGTCCAGCACATCCTGCCTGCAAAAGCCTCTCACTGCAGGAGAAGCTGGCCACAATCACCTTTCTGTGAGACCTTTTCCTGGGCTGAGGTGCTCTCCCAATTCCTAGTGACTGCTCCTGGCCAAGATACCTTAGGCTGGTGCATGGGAGTGGCACCCTACAACTTGGGGGGGGTGTTTATTCAAGATCCTCTCCCAGCCTTTCTGTGATCAAGCAGTTCTATGATGGAAAGTCTGGAAGCTGGAAGGAGGGGAGGGGGGTGGCAGTGGGCCTGAGGGAAGTGTGCACCAAGAGGCCCTTCCCTGCCTGTCTCAGGGCTGTGTGCAGGTTCCCTTGGTTGGTATGCACACACTCATAGTACCTCAGTTATTCACGTTTATGTGTGTTATGTTGCATGGTCCCCTGGGAGAGAAACACCAGTTAGGGAGACTGTCTTCACATTGAAACACCACAAAGAGTTCAGAGTTTTCAGGAGAATTCATCCTTGCCCATGGACCAGCAGAAGTCTGGATCTGTGAGGAATTCCCTAGCACACATGCTTTCTAACTGGATTAAATTCCAACAGGGCTGCAAATATCAGCCTCTTCCCAGCAAATTGAGCTCACCTGGGTTCCAGAGCCGTGCGTGGCGTGTCCGTTTTTGAAAAAGCATTTGGTCACATTCTTGCATTTGAACTAATCATTGCTTAGTTACCTAGTGCTGTGTGTGGTTTTCAAGTCCCTCCTGGGCCTTGGAACACTGCTAGGCACTTGGTTGGAGGTAAGGCAGGAAAAAAGATAAGATGAAATACTTAATTAGCCAATTAAGGAAGGAGGGAAACAGACACCAACGCTTCAGTAGGGAGGAAGCGTGTCTGAGATGAGCTTTCTGATCTCCGAGACTGAGTAAATGGATTTAATTTGCCCTCCTCCTCCTCCTCAGAAGGGCTGATTGAATGGTCCTAGGAGTGGGTGGGGCCAATAGCTGCAAAGGCCTGTGGAGTGAGTGTGTGTATGTGTGTGTGTGTGTGTGTGTGTGTGTGAGAGAGAGAGAGAGAGAGAGAGAGAGAGACTGAAATACAGCTAGACTTGAATTCCAACTCTGCCATTTCAAATTTCCTTTACCTCTGTTTACATTGCGTGTATGTGTGTGGGCATGCTCATGGAAGTCTGGGTTGGGTCTTTTTTCACAATTTGGGTCCCAGGGATCAAACTTTGTCAGGGTTGGCGGCAAGCATCCTCCCACTGAACCATCCCGCCAGCCAGCATGGCGCTGCTGTCAGCTTCTTCATCTGCAAGGGGCAGCTCGCCAGGGCATCTCTCAGACTTCGGTGTGAGGCTGTATAGTGTACAGCCTGAAAGACCAAGGCGGGATGGTGTCTGCATGTTGGCGGCCTCGTATGTGGCCGTGAATGTGTTCTTTGTTAACTCAGCAGCCTGAATTCACATGTGTGCCAACATACACATAAGCTTTGTTCTTGACTTTGCTTTAGACTATTGGCTCACAGCAAACATGCGGGCTGGCAGCTGCATGTATCCCTTCACGCTGAAGGAGGTCCACAGTACCCCGGGCGGTAGGAAGTACCCCAGGAAGAAGGCAGGGAAGAGACCTCGTTTGTCTGCTCTTCTCCGTGACAAGGGCCTAGTGTGTTGTGCAGGGTCTTTGCATTTTGAATGCCGAGATCCGGTTAATTAAAGGATGTCGGGATCACTGCCTGTGTTTAGCTAGGGTGCAGAAACTAGCTGCTCACAAAGGCGTTCCTCTGCAGCCTTCAGCTCCTTCTTTGAAGCCCCAACACAGAGTCAGCTTACGCTAGAACAAGGCCGGCCACAGGTGGCTTGAATTTTGATGTTGCCTTTCATCCAAGAACCCTGAAGTATTTGGCAAACATGAACTCATTGATCTGCCTATCAACTTCCTGGGAGGAAGCCTGTGAAGAAAGGGACTCAGGCATCGTCAGGAGGGCAGGTGTGTCCTTAGCGCAATATGGATTGTGACCACAAAGATCTGGGTAAATTCCCCACCTGCGGAATTGCGTGCAGGCTGGGAAGGGTCAGGAGGACAAAGCCCAGAAAAATATAAGTTTCACCAAGATTTTTACGGTTGGGAGGAGAAAGGAAATTTATTCTTCTTAGACCTACAGTGCCTTTTGACATGTACACATGAAAATATATTATTCACAGTTCTGAATTAAAGGATGTTATGTGAAGCTTGTGTATGCATGGTAAGGTTGGCTGAGTCTGAGTTGGGTTATAAATGGGGCATTGATTTCGCAGCCCTGCCCTTCTCTTCCCTTCCCTTCCCTTCTCTTCCCTTCCCTTCCCTTTTCTTCCCTTTCTTTCCCTTCCCTGCATTTCTTACTTTCCCTTTCTGCCTTGCATTTGTTTGTAGTGATCATTAGTACATCAGCCTTACATATGAAGTTTGGTTATGTGATAGTTTAGGTTAATCCTCAGGCAGTTAAATTAGACCCAGGCCAAGACTGCTTCCTGAGCCTAGTCCCTCAGCCTGACCCAGGGGACCTTTGTAGTCAGAGATCCTGTATTGTAGCTGGCTGCCCCACCAGTGCCTGCTGGCTGCCGACAGGGAGAAAGGATGCTGGTGAGGAGGAGAGCAGAAAGGGGTAGTGCAGTGGTGGCACAGCCTCTTACAATTAGTAAATTACCATTTTGGGGAGCTGGGGGATGGCTCAGTGTTAAGAACACTTGCTGCTCTTGCAGAAGACCTGGGTTTGGTTTTTAGCACTCATGGCTGGTGGCTCACAACCCTCTATGACTGTCAGCTTCCAGGGATCAGACACCCTCTTCTGACTTCTGTGGCACGCCCATACAGGTGAGCATATACACACATGTACATAGAAGTAAAATAAATCTTAAAAATACCTTCTTCACTTTTGTAATGTTTGCGTTCTTAGTGTGTAGCTGCAGTCCTGACTTTGGAAGCCTTTTGGGGGACCACTTCCTTACAGCAGACTCAACCTGTGGGTCGTCACTCCTTTGGGGATCAAATGACTTTTTCACAAGGGTTGCCTAAGACCATTTGAAAATATTTACATTACTATTCAAAAGAGTAGCAAAATTACAGTTATGAAGTAGCAATGAAATTAATTTTTGGTTGGTTGGGGGGTCACCACAACATGAGGAATTGTGTTAAAGGGTCGTCACATTGGGGTGGCAGAGAAGCTCTGACTTATAGGGATTTTAGCTCAGAGAAATGTTGCTCATTGTTGAGAATTATTGGGAGCTCCTC